TCCCCTGAAGAAGGGAAAGGTCACCCACTCCAGTCTTCTGGCCTGGAGAATTCCATGGACTGTATAGTCAACAGGGTCGCAAAGAGCTGGACACGACTGAGCGACTTTCACTCTCTCTCACAATCAAACAGAAAATGGAAAGATATCAGCTAGAAATACAGGAGGGAGACTTTCCTGGTGGTCCAGTGGTTGAGAACCTGCCTTGCGATGCAGGGGACGCAGGTTCGATCCTGGGCTGGGGAGCTGGAATCCCACGTGCTGCGGAGGAGCTGGGCCTGCACATGGTCTAGGTGGGAGCCCACAGGCTGCAGCTGCTGACACCGAGGCGCTGTGGAGCTTGCGGACCACCGCTGAACCCCGCCACGACTGGGGGGTCTGTGCTCTGCACTGAAAGACCCTCTCTGATGCAAAGAAGACCCCACAGGCCACCGCTGAGCCCCGCCACGACTGGGGGGGGGTCCATGCTCTGCAGTGGAAGATCCTGCCCAATGCAAGGAAGACCTCATGTGCCACCGCTGAGACCCAACACACCCAAACACATCAGTAATTTTGAAACGAAAAAAAGAAGGACATGCAAGAAGAATGCAGTGGGACTCGGGAGGCATCAGCTCCTGGTTCTTGAGGCCAGACTGCGGCTCCTCGGGTGGGCGTCCCCTTCCCCAGGAGGTGCCTGGGTGGTTGCGTCGGAGAGACCTCACTTTTGTGTTCCTTCTCTTGGAGTGAAGAAGTGCTGATGGAGAGGCAGAAATGCACCAGTGGACCAACTTTACTTACAGGCTGTGGTTGTCACCTCTCAGAAGCTCAGGTGACGCTTGCTTACAACATTCAGAGCCAGTTCTGAAACGTCACTTGTACTATTTTTAAAAGTATTTGGAGGCATCTCCATCTCAGCAGAAAAGTATGTCTTTTTACTCTAGTGTTAGGAGATTTAGTGCACATAAGTTGTTTGCGTTTAGTCTTCCTTTAGCTAAGAAATTGTAGGTGTAGCACATAGTTTCATCACTTTTTAATTTTAAATTTGAGCTCACTAACATTTGGAGGCAACATAGAAAATAGATTCCGATTCTGCTGCAGACGAGCCCCTTAGCTGAGGCACATGATCTCTGCTAAAAGTGAAAGCCAGCGGAAATAAGTACCAAGCGGGACCAAGATTCTGGGACAATAGAGGCAAGGAAGACAATAGCGAAGATCAGAGAGACTGCAAGCTGCTTCTTAGAAAAGATAAACAAAATTGATAAACCTTCAGGCAGACTCATCACGAAAAACAACGGAAAGCACTCAAATCAATAACACTGGAAATGAAAAAGAGGTTACAACTGACACAGCAGAAATACAAAGGATCATAAGAGACTACTACAAGCAGCTATAGGCCAGGAAAACGGACGAGTTGGAAGAAGTGGGTATGTTCTTAGAAAGGTACAGTCTCCAGAGCAGGAAGAAACAGAAGATGTGAACAGACCAATCACGAGCACTGACGTGGAGAACGCCCGACAAGCAGGAGATTCTGGGGCAGACTCAGGCAGGTGGCGGCCTGGGTCTCCTCCGAGAAGCCCAGTCCCCCTCCATCTGCATGCCCTTCCTTTCTTGGGGCTCTGGGGGGCCGGCTTGCCCTCACGTCCTGCCGCCACTTCCAGCCAGGGATCCAGCTCCTGCCAGCTCCCCAGTCCGTCTCTAGGCACGCACGCTTCTCCTTTGATGCTTTCTCATAGCTATATCTGCCAGCCAGGAGGGAGACAGCCCTGTGAGTTCAGGCCTCCATGGGCTGTAGAGAGAATAGGGTGGTTCTTGGTGACAGCCGATGGAGGGGAAGGAGGGGGTCACGGTCTCAGGTTAGGGGAGTCCCTGCTATCTCTGCCTTAGCCTGGACTGGGGGGCCATCATGTGCATGTGCCGGGGTCAGAGCCCTGAACTCACTCAGCAAAGCCTGTGAGGAGCAGGGTCATGTTTCTGCCGCCACGAGGATGCAGCTGAAGCCGCTGCTTATCCTGCGGATGTGGGCGTGCAAGCACACGTGGACGTTACTAACCTGCTTTGAAACTTGGCTTTTCCCTCTGAATAGCAAAGAGGTCTCTGGGTTCCAAATATGTTGTTGTAATAAATTAGAAAGTGGTAGTCCAGTGTTAAGTAATATGTTGAGAATGACAGAATAAAAGATTCCAATGCTGAGAAAATGCTGTAGACATATTTCAGTGAATGAGTGGATCAGCACTTCCATTTATCTTTGTGATTCCTTTTTACTAGTGGCAGCTTTGAGAAATAATTTATAAAAATTATAAATTTACTTAATTAGCATGTTGTCCTTATGAAAGGTGAAAGCGTGTTGCAGGTAAAGACAACCCTCACTCTGAAACTCATGCATTTGTTTCATAGAGCAGGAAGAAACAGAAGATGTGAACAGACCAATCACGAGCACTGACGTGGAGAACGCCCGACAAGCAGGAGATTCTGGGGCAGACTCAGGCAGGTGGCGGCCTGGGTCTCCTCCGAGAAGCCCAGTCCCCCTCCATCTGCATGCCCTTCCTTTCTTGGGGCTCTGGGGGGCCGGCTTGCCCTCACGTCCTGCCGCCACTTCCAGCCAGGGATCCAGCTCCTGCCAGCTCCCCAGTCCGTCTCTAGGCACGCACGCTTCTCCTTTGATGCTTTCTCATAGCTATATCTGCCAGCCAGGAGGGAGACAGCCCTGTGAGTTCAGGCCTCCATGGGCTGTAGAGAGAATAGGGTGGTTCTTGGTGACAGCCGATGGAGGGGAAGGAGGGGGTCACGGTCTCAGGTTAGGGGAGTCCCTGCTATCTCTGCCTTAGCCTGGACTGGGGGGCCATCATGTGCATGTGCCGGGGTCAGAGCCCTGAACTCACTCAGCAAAGCCTGTGAGGAGCAGGGTCATGTTTCTGCCGCCACGAGGATGCGGCTGAAGCCGCTGCTTATCCTGCGGATGTGGGCGTGCAAGCACACGTGGACGTTACTAACCTGCTTTGAAACTTGGCTTTTCCCTCTGAATAGCAAAGAGGTCTCTGGGTTCCAAATATGTTGTTGTAATAAATTAGAAAGTGGTAGTCCAGTGTTAAGTAATATGTTGAGAATGACAGAATAAAAGATTCCAATGCTGAGAAAATGCTGTAGACATATTTCAGTGAATGAGTGGATCAGCACTTCCATTTATCTTTGTGATTCCTTTTTACTAGTGGCAGCTTTGAGAAATAATTTATAAAAATTATAAATTTACTTAATTAGCATGTTGTCCTTATGAAAGGTGAAAGCGTGTTGCAGGTAAAGACAACCCTCACTCTGAAACTCATGCATTTGTTTCATGTCCTTATGCATGGCTGCTTATAAACTTAATTTCATGCCAACTTGCTTAAATAGATAGAATACAATCTAAATTTAAGGGATTGGAACAGCTATAGTACAGCGTGCCTTGTGGATACAATTACTGTAGTTTTAATGTCTTCTGCACTTTATTGTTCTGAGGATACAACTGTAAAGAAATACTCTGCCTTCCAGCTTTTCTATTTTGTCTTGGCATTCAGATCACAAAAGCCTCTCTGGTTCATTTTGGAACTTTGAGGGAAATGATACCTGTGTGATTTAAAGTTTAAGTTTAACTACCTTCTGCAAATTGCTTTTGGAAGTATAGGTAGTTGAAAAGTAAAAGTGGTTTTAAATTTCAGACTTAACAAATAGCTTAATCAGTTTTTAAAATACAGAGGTTTTATTCAAAATAGATTCTCTCCAGAGCAGGAAAGTTAGAATGCCTTTGTATAATATTTTGCATGCTCTTTACTTTATTGCCATGAAAGTCGTATAATCCCAACCTTTCTCTCTGTTTCTTATTTATGAATATAATGACTTACTGAAAATTGATCACTAATTTCATATACCTCCTGAGAGGCAGTATCAAGTTTTAGGTTTAAACTGTGAAAGATGTGGTGTGACCATTTGAGCATTTTTTAAAAAAAAATAAAATAATAAAGACGTCTGTAACAGGGAAAGAACTTAAATACACAGATAGATGTGGTGTCAGCTCTGGACACCCATTACATCATGCAGGAAAGTTGAGGAATGATGCAAACCGCCGTAGACGTAGGTGCTGCCCGAAGTTCTCACTCGGTAGTGTTAACAGCCTGCTAATATTAGGAGACTTGTTCTAAACACTTATCTGGCGCATGGGAGCAGGCTTTAATAAATCAAACTCCAGAATTTTAGAAGCGCCGCCACCCGAAGTCTGTGCTCCCACCCAGACTTAATATAATGGCAGAAGTAAAACCATATCTATTTGAAGTATTTAGGAGCGTGACTAATCTAATATGAGACTCTGAAGAGCCAGGAATTGCTGCTGGAACTCCAGGGTCTACTCATGTAACACATAATTTAATGGTTCATACCGAGTTTTCCAGATGCAGTCCAGACAGCTCAGTGAGTCCGCGTGGTTAGGGAGCGGTTTTAAACTTTACGTTCCCGTTCCCTAGAGTGATGCCTCAAATGTAAGTGCCTGGGCATCAGCCCTCGGAGAGCTGGTTCATGGGAATTCTGAGGCAAGTGGTCTCATGACAGCCTTTGGAGAAGCCTGGTTAGGAGAGGGGCATCCAGCCGGGCTTGCTGAGCGGCAGTGTGACCCGTGTGACGTGGCCCTGCGTGGGCCTTAATGCCCTCTACGACCTTCTTAAACTCAGGTTCTGAACACCGAGTCCTGCTTGGCCATTTTCCCCCTGATCCCTGCAAACCATGTGGCCAATTCTGTATGCAAGCTTTTATTGTGCATTGCTTTTAAGTCGTGTCTCTTGACATTTACGGATTGCAATTATTCAATAATGATTTTTTACCTGTCTGCATTAGGCTGTAAACACAGAGGCCACTTCTCAGCTTCAGAAGCGAATGAGCACCATGCATTACGGGACATACAATAGCAAACCCTAAGAGTATGAGTCTTCTCCCAAGGAAATTAAATTTCTATTCCTAGTCTGGAACACAGAAGCCTACGCTTGTGCTCTTCTAATCCACTGTGGCTTTTTCTCTCCTAGGATGGTACAAAACAGAAACGAGAGCGGAAAAAGACCGTCTCGTTCAGCAGCATGCCCACAGAGAAGAAGATCAGCAGTGCAAGCGACTGCATCAACTCCATGGTGGAGGGGTCTGAGCTCAAAAAGGTCCGCTCCAACTCTAGAATTTACCACAGGTATTTCTTGCTGGACGCCGACATGCAGAGCCTGAGGTGGGAACCATCCAAGAAGGATTCCGAGAAAGCCAAGATTGATATTAAGTCCATCAAGGAAGTGAGGACGGGGAAAAATACAGACATATTCCGCAGCAATGGCGTTTCTGACCAGATATCCGAAGACTGTGCGTTTTCCGTCATCTACGGAGAGAATTATGAGTCACTCGATCTGGTTGCCAACTCTGCAGACGTTGCAAACATCTGGGTCACGGGACTGCGGTACCTAATTTCTTATGGAAAACATACCCTTAACATGTTAGAAAGTAGTCAGGACAACATGAGGACTTCCTGGGTTTCACAGATGTTCAGTGAAACTGATGTAGATAACCTGGGACATATAACTCTGTGCAGTGCCGTGCAGTGTATCAGGAATCTCAATCCTGGCTTAAAAACAAGCAAAATTGAGCTGAAGTTCAAAGAACTGCATAAATCCAAGGACAAAACTGGTACTGATGTCACAAAGGAGGAGTTTGTTGAGGTTTTCCACGAGCTTTGTACTAGACCTGAAATTTATTTCCTTTTAGTTCAGTTCTCAAGCAATAAAGAATTCCTTGATACCAAGGACCTGATGATGTTTCTGGAGGCAGAGCAGGGCGTGGCGCACATAAACGAGGAGATAAGCCTTGAGATTATCCACAAATACGAGCCATCCAGAGAGGGTCAGGAGAAGGGCTGGCTTTCCATAGATGGGTTCACTAACTACCTTATGTCACCCGACTGTTACATATTTGACCCAGAGCATAAGAAGGTCTGTCAGGACATGAAGCAGCCTCTGTCTCATTACTTTATAAATTCATCTCACAACACATACTTGATTGAGGATCAGTTCCGAGGCCCCTCTGATATCACAGGGTACATCCGAGCTCTTAAAATGGGTTGCCGGAGCGTGGAATTGGACGTCTGGGACGGGCCGGATAATGAGCCTGTGATTTACACAGGCCACACCATGACGTCTCAGATCGTCTTCCGCAGCGTCATCGACATCATCAACAAGTATGCCTTCTTCGCTTCCGAGTACCCGCTCATCCTGTGTTTGGAAAATCACTGTTCCATCAAACAGCAGAAGGTCATGGTGCAGCACATGAAGAAGATTTTAGGAGACAAGCTGTACACAACGTCACCCAACGTCGAGGAATCTTACCTGCCATCCCCAGACGTCCTGAAAGGGAAGATCCTCGTCAAAGCGAAGAAGCTGTCCTCCAACTGCTCCGGGGTCGAGGGTGATGTCACCGACGAGGACGAGGGGGCGGAGATGTCCCAGAGGGTGGGCAAGGAGAACACAGAGCCGTCCAACCACGTGCCTGCCAAGCGCTTCCAGCTCTGCAAAGAGCTGTCGGAGCTGGTGAGCATCTGCAAGTCCGTGCAGTTCAAGGAGTTCCAGGTGTCCTTCCAGGCTCAGAAGTACTGGGAGGTCTGCTCCTTCAACGAAGTGCTGGCCAGCAAGTATGCCAATGAGAACCCCGGGGACTTCGTCAATTACAACAAGCGCTTTCTGGCCCGGGTCTTCCCCAGTCCGATGAGGATTGACTCCAGCAACATGAACCCGCAGGATTTTTGGAAGTGCGGCTGTCAGATCGTGGCCATGAACTTCCAGACTCCGGGGCTGATGATGGACCTGAACGTGGGCTGGTTCCGGCAGAACGGGAACTGCGGCTACGTGCTGCGGCCGGCCATCATGCGGGAGGAGGTCTCCTTCTTCAGCGCCAACACCAAGGACTCGGTGCCGGGGGTCTCCCCACAGCTGCTCCACATCAAGGTCATCAGCGGGCAGAACTTCCCCAAGCCCAAAGGCTCGGGCGCCAAGGGCGACGTGGTGGACCCGTACGTGTACGTGGAGATCCACGGCATCCCGGCTGACTGCGCGGAGCAGAGGACAAGGACCGTGCACCAGAACGGGGACGCGCCCATCTTCGACGAGAGCTTCGAGTTCCAGGTCAACCTGCCCGAGCTGGCCATGGTGCGCTTCGTGGTCTTGGACGACGACTACATCGGCGACGAGTTCATCGGCCAGTACACCATCCCCTTCGAGTGCCTGCAGACGGGCTACCGCCACGTGCCGCTGCAGTCGCTGACCGGGGAGATCTTGGCGCACGCCTCCCTGTTCGTGCACGTGGCCATCACCAACCGGAGAGGGGGCGGCAAGCCTCACAAGAGGGGCCTCTCGGTGCGGAAGGGGAAGAAGTCCAGGGAGTACGCGTCCCTGAGGACGCTGTGGATCAAAACTGTGGACGAGGTCTTCAAGAACGCCCAGCCCCCGATCCGGGACGCCACGGACCTCAGGGAGAACATGCAGGTAGGCTGTGCTCAGCCTCCAAGGAGGCTCAGGAGGCTGTTAGGGTTTCAGCGAACAGCTGTGTATCTGACCTCACGTACTTTGTGAATTCCAGTTGCTTGTAAGAATGCTCACCCACTGATGTCATTTTTTTCCCCCATCATGGTAAATTTCCAAAAGGGCAGTCGGCCCTTCAACACGTTGATGACACTTGGGAATGAGCCCCCCCTTGTTGCTGAGTCCATAGAAGGCCCTGGTCCCTGGTAGGCCCTAAGCAATGGTGCCCATCTTTTCTAAAAGCGTAGGTGGGAATCTCTCCTGTTTCTGGGTGTTCCTGAGCTGGAGCACACGGACAGACCATCAAAATGAAAGGACACGCCCCCATCCTTTCTTGTGGGGCGGTCCTGCTGCGGGAATGGCACATCTGTAAACAGCCAGTGTCTGTCTGAGTGTTGAGCCTGCTCTTGACTCAAGCCCAGCAATCTAATTGTTTCAGTAAGAGGCACATGATACCTGTATTTATTAGACATCTAAGATAGTGACCACCTCTGAACTGCATAGCGACTAAAAGCAGTCAGTCAGGATTATGTATGTAATTAAGTATCGTCCACGTGTCTAGCAGGATACAGGGGCTGCCAGCAATGCAGAACAAGTCATGAGGGCTGCCCCCCACACACACACACCAGCCCCAGCACACAGACACAGACACACACAGACACACACCAGCCCCAGCACACAGACACAGACACACACAGACACACACCAGCCCCAGCACACAGACACAGACACACACACACCAGCCCCAGCACACACACACACACACACACACACACACACACACCAGCGCCAGCCTGTCCCAGTGTGTGTCCATCCCAAAGATACGTGTGTATAAAGACATACATGTATATGTTTATAACTGTTATGAGCAGAATGCCAGCAGCAAGTAAAACAAAAAGACCTTCCCGCAGCAGAGTAATGTTATCATTTGTCTCAAAGCAAAAGCGTAACAGAAATACGGAGGGCGTCTCCCTGCCTCCGAGGCTGCCAGGGTCGTGGACCTCAGCTCCCGAGGCTGGTACGGTCGTGGACCTCGGCTCCGAGCAGGCCGCAGCCACACCCGTGTGTGCATGAGGCTGCACGTCGTCCTTCTGGGCTGCGTGTGTCTGCACTGTGAGTGCCGTGTGCAGTCAGCGCTGTGCCTGGGCCGTGGAGCCTGGGTGGGCAGGACCCCGCAGGTGCCTGTGGTTGGGGGGTGGGCACTGGGAAGGGGCGGCGGGCAGGGAGCGGGAGATGAAACGACCAGGACGACAGCAGGTGGAGAAGTTAGGGGGCTCTGAGGGCCCCAGAGTGCCCGCAGGAAGGACTGTCACGACCCTCAGCATCCAGGATGCTCAGCTTGATTACCATATTTAAAGTAGCATTGATCAAACGCTTCCATTTCAAACTGAGGTGCTGCTCATCTCCAAGGACTGGGGCATTTGAGCGCAGAAGGCACAGGTCTGGGGGCCTCTACCCCTGCCCTCTGGGCACCATCCTTAACCCAGGTCGGGACCCAGGCGCGCCTGGATTTCCCGTGTTTCGGTTAGAATGTGCCTGTTATGGCAGCGCAGGATCGAGAGTGTCGACCTCGTCCTGAGCCGACTTCAGGTACCAGCCTGACCCCTTCGCCTGCCGGCTGCATGACCCCAGACGGACAGGAGAGGCCACAGCCGAGGCTCGGTCCCCTCAGGCCCAGCGTGGTGGTGAAGGGTCAGACGGGGCCACATGTAACACGCGTGCCTCCGAGCGGCACTCAGACACCCGCTCACGGCCTTCCACAGTGCGGAAGGGCTTCCTTTCATGGGTATTTCCATGGCCCACCGCTAGTGATTAGAAATAAAGGAGGCAGGAGGAGGAGCAGTGGGACCCCTGGAGACGGGGCGATGGGCAGGGCAGGCCGTGGTCCCTGGGTCTCCCACCTGAAACTGCAGCTTCCCCGAAGTCCCTCTAGCTTTGGAACCAGCGGGTGTGAACAGGTGAGAGGGACTCGGGTTCCTGCCTGCCAGATGTTCCTCCTTTTTGGATGGCTGGCCTACCTGATACTTAGTTGAAGCCTGATTCCATTATTTTCTCATCTTTTTGAAAGCAGAAGCCATTTTTTTGTTTGTTTGCTTGCTTGTAATTGCATATCAACATTTGCACCGCTATGAACTTTGATCTGAAAGGCAGCTTTGCCCTTCAAAAGAATTTAACTTGTTTGCCTTTTCTGCCCTTTGGATAAATTGGTGTTACAAATGCCTATGTCTGCGTTTACTTTGGAAAATAGCCCTTTTTCCCCAGGATAAAATAATCATTAACCACGTCTGTTGTAACACTAACTCATAACTGCCACGCCAGGCAGCCCCAGGATAACCAGGTGTGTCGAGGACAGCATCCCTGGGAAACTCAGCCCCTGGTGAATTACAGCGCGCCTTCTTTCTTCCCACTGAGCAGAACGCAGTGGTGTCCTTCAAGGAGCTGTGTGGCCTCTCGTCCGTGGCCAACCTCATGCAGTGCATGCTGGCGGTGTCTCCCCGCTTCCTGGGACCTGATAACACGCCCCTGGTGGTCCTGAACCTCAGCGAGCAGTACCCCACCATGGAGTTGCAGGGGATCGTGCCCGAGGTGCTGAAGAAGATCGTGACGACTTACGACATGGTGAGTGGCTCGTCCCACTTTCAGGGTGCCCCGGGGGAGAGAGGTGTCTTGGGCCATTTCCCCTGATGTGCTCAGGAGTTCTGGCTAAGGACTTACCTTTACCTGTGCTGGAAGCCTGACTCTCCCGACCTTGCTGCATTTGAAAGACTTTAGTGTTTCGTTTTTGCTGTTTTAGAAAGCAGGATTCAGACACGTGCCTCCATTGGATCAAATAGTAGTCAGCTTTTCAGGAATACATCTGAATTGCTTTCTAAAGCATACATGATTTTCGACACACATAGAGTAAGGATTTTTAAAAAATCTTTCCCTGCAGCCAGCCATTGATTCACCCATATTTTGTTTTCATTTTTCACACTGGCAGAGGTGAGAAATTTTTTTTCTAAAATGCCTTTTAAATACCCTCAGAGGCGGGTGTCTCCACCACGTGCCTGGACCGTGCAATGCCCTCCCCCCTGACGGCAGCCCCCCGCGGTACCCATGATTGGTAATCAGCTAGCGTCAGTGAGGAATCCTCGGGACACCTAGAACGCTGCATTTTTGCACCTGAGGTCTGTCTTGCATTTTCTTAATCGCATCCCGCTCTCTCAGTCCTTTTTGATTGATTGTAACTCTGAGGGAGGCGTCGGCGGGTGAGCACCGCCCTTTGGAGGTCAGTGTAGCTGCAGGTATCTGAACTCCTGCGTGCGCAGCGTGAGGGTTGAGGGTGGGGTGGGACACTCCCCTCCCAGATGGGCGAGGCTGCCACTTGTGCTCAGAGGTCACAGGCCTCACCCACCCCACCTCCACCCTCGAAGCGGGCGTTCAGACCACAAGACACGAGGCTGCTTCTGCTGTAGGCTGCTGTGGTCTGAGACGGATCAGGAGAGGCTGCGTGAAGTTTAACAGAAATGTTTGCTTGCTGTTCCATAAGTGGATCAGAAAGCGGCAACTCACAGGACTTGATAAAATTTAAAGAAAAGACAAAAAGGCTTTCGATCGGCATTTCCCACACCGTGTGCTGAGGAGCCTTGGTTTCTTAGGATATTAATATGTCCCCAGGGAGAAAGGATTCCGTGTTGAAATAATTTAGGGAAATACTGGTTTGAGTGAAATCAATCAGATGTCCTCTCTGCGGGACTCCGTGGGGCCCTTTGTTTGCTGGCAGTGGCCTTCCAAAGGCTGATGGGTGTAGCGTGCCCTGTTTCAGGCATTGANCAAAGGCTGATGGGCGTAGCGTGCCCTGTTTCAGGCATTGAGTTGACCATGGGGTACTATTTCCTAAAGCAAAAGTTTGGGAAGTATTTTTGTTTTTGATCTTCTTCACTTGACCTTATTCACTGAAGTCTTTGGGTGAATAAGCTCTGGAAGTGCAAATCAGAACAATGCAGTATTTTTCTTCTTTCCCCAGTTTTGTTGAGAAATAATTGACTCGTGTAAGTTTAAAGTGTGCTGCCTGATGGTTTGATTCGCACATGTTGTGAAATGATTACAATGGGCTCAGCGAACATCTGTCTCCTCAGATAGATACAATTTTAAAAATAAAGAAGAAGGGAAAAAAAAATTCTTCTTGTGATGAGAGCTCTTAGTTTTCTCTCTTGACAAGTTTCCTGAGTATCAGTCATCTTGTGCATTTCATTCCCAGGACGTCTTTGTCTTGTAACTGGAAACGTCTGCCCTTTGACTGTTCTCCTCCGATTCTCACTTCTCCACTTCTGGTAACCACAAGCCCCATCTCTTTTTCCATCAGTTTGTTTTTTGTTTCTGTTTTACTTTCCACACATGAGAGAGATCATACAGCGTTTGTCTTTCTCTGACTTATTTACACGTAGCATAATACCTTCAAGGTTCATCTGTGTTTTTAGCAAATGGTAGGATCGCTTAATTTTTTTATGACTGGTACATATATATGATACATGTTTATGCATATATATGTATGTCTCACAGCTCCTTTATCTATTGACGGACACTTAGGTTGCATACATGTTTGGCTGTTGTAAATAATGCTGCTGTGAACATGGGGTGCAGGTATCTTTTGAGTTAGCACTTTCATCTCCTTTGGATATGTTCCGAGAAGGGGAATTGCTGGATCCTCTGGTAGTTCTATTTTCCATGCTTTGAGGATCTTCCTTGCCGTTTTCCCTAGGAACTGTACCAATTTACATTCCCACCAATAAGAAGAATGCAGTGTTTTAAACAGCTCATCAGTTCATTAGCTTAAGAAAAAAAGTGGGGTTTGAGGTCGATGCTTGCTATTTCCTGCTTTTTCCAGCTTAGAGTTCATGGTGACGTCAGACACATAAGGACCGAACAGTGGACACTGCAGGCACGCTGCGGGGAGTGGCAGTCACCCCGACAGGAGGCTGGCTGGTGGGGCAGAAGTGTCTGTAGACTTCAGGGGGTCGGGGGTGGGGACGCTCTGTGCTGGGTGCTGGAGCGGCCGCAGGCATGAACATATGTGGCTGCTGTCCTCAGGGAGCCATCCTGTCTGCTAGGAGGGCAGCTGGAGAGAAAAGCATAAGCAGCTCATGCTGAGATTCCTTTGATGGGGAAAAGGGAAAGATAGGAAAAATGGAGAAGTCTAAAGAACCCTTCTATGCTGCGACTCAGGCTGCCTGGTTAGTTTCATGAGAAGCCCAAAGAAGTCGCTGATATCTGTAAATGCTTTTAAAACTTAAGCCACAAGTAGAATCGTTGGCTGCTTTGCAGATCTGTGTCGTTGACCAGCATCTAAGATGACTTACCCGCTCAGGTGTTTCACGGGCCACATGGGACCGTTTCTTCCTGGTAACCTTTTTAACAGGACCTTCCTGAGAGTGGGCTGTGATGCCACAGGGAGGTGAGAGCTGAGCCAAGGTTGGTACCAGGACCTGGTCCCAGCTGAGTGCAGAGCAGGAGGGATCCTGATGAGGTTGACATAGCACCCACCGTGGTACTTGGCACAGGGGTTGCTCAGTGCCCCTTGCTTCCCCACCCCACCCTCTCCCTGGGCTGGTGGATGATAACACTTATTATGTAATTCTAATTTGCTGGTGACTTTGTAATTGTGTTGTTGCAGAAATGATAAGACAATTAGCTTGCTTGAATTTTTAAAGTTGTGAAATTAGTCTTACATAATGTTTAAATATCTGGGCTGTGTTATACCCCTAGTTTTAGTGATTTGTTCTATTTTTAATTCCACCTGGTAAACTAAGCCATAAAGTATCTAAATTAAATTAAAATTTTTATAATTTGCATTTAAAAATTGTCACATTGTTATAGCAACAGTATAGCTCTTATAATATTTTATAGTCCATTTATTGGTGACTTAATTACTTCTCACCTTGTGACAGTTAATTTATTAAAGCTAGCTAAAGAACAGATGAAATATTCATGGGAAATGTAGTAAGGTCTTGGATAGCCTCTATTTTTGTAATGTTATATTGAGCTTAACCCAAAATTAGCCTTGGAAATAAGATCTTATTTCATTTTGCTGACTTCCCATTTATAGTCTGAAGACTCCAAATAAGATCTTATTTCCTTCTGTTGACTTCCCCTTTATAGTTTGAAGGTTCCAAGTGTTGGTGTAGTTGGAGAAATGCTCCCCGCCCCCACCGAGTCTTGCATTACTGTGCGTCTACGCCCTGGAGGTGCCCCCAGTGAGGAGGGGCTGGTTGGTATCACCTAGGGCTGCTTGAATATGTACTTAAGCTCTCAAGATGGTGATCACTTTGCTGTGTGTAAACTCTCATGAATGAACTAGGGTGGCTGAAACGTGCCCATCTGTGAAAAAGGAGAGGCAGGGAAGGGGCTGACCGTGCACCTGTGGGCAGTGTGGAGGCGGGAAGGAGCCACACAGCCTGCCTGCACACCTCTGGTCCCAGCGTGATTATGAATAGCTCTCCCTTTAACCCTTACAGTTGTCCCTGTTTAGATAATCAGTTGTGTGATAATCCTGCCCATAGCCCACCAGAATGTTCAAAGGGCCCTTGTGATTCCCACTAACAGACAAGTCTTCAGAATGGTCCAGATGGTGTTTGTCTTACCCTATTTGTAGATCCTCCTTGGGTCCTGGAAGTGGCGAGGTTTGAGGCTGGGACCTCACTCGGGAAGGTGGGTGTCAAAGTCGCTCGGGAGCAGAGGAAGAAGTCAAGCTCAGACAGCTTCTTAAACCAGGCAGATGGGCTAGAAATAAAGAGGGGCTGGTCCGGAGAGGGGGAGCAGCCGTGCGGTCACAGCAAGGGGGATTTTCTTCCTGGGAGGAGGTTACAGCTTAGTGGAAGACAGTACGTGTATAATAGTGAGGGGAGAGATGCTAGATATTTTTAAATAGGTAAATAAATTATTTTGAAAAGACTCATTTGAAAAGACTCTGATGCTGGGAAAGATTGAAGACTGGAAGAGAAGGGGATGACACTGGATGCGATGGTTGGATGGCATCACTGACTCAATGGACAGGAGTTTGAATAAGCTCTGGGAGTTGGTGATGGACAGGGAGGCCTGGCATACTGCAGTCCATGGGGTCACAGAGAGTCGGACATGACTGAGTGACTGAACTGAAATAAATTATCTGGATGTTCGTGAGAGAGAAAGGTCAGTTTAAAGTTTAGGGCCTGGAAAGGCTTCAAGGAAACACTGGCCTTTGAGCTCGACCTTTACAAATGAGTCAGACTTCGGCAGGTGAAAGTAAGAAGGAAGACAGTTGCAGGCGGGTTCACAGGGTGAAACACACTCAGGAATGGGAAGCACCTGTCCTGGGAAACTGACGCGTGGGCCAGGGGAGTTCCTGCACATGTTTGAGCAATCAGGGGCCATGCTCAGAGTCAGGATTTGGGGCTGTGAGAGGGCTGGGTGAGGGGGAGCTCAGAGGTCACCTGTCTTTATTGTGCAGATGAGAAAATGGAAACACAGGGGTGCATCAGGCTAACATCAGAACCAGCTTTAGGGCCCAGCTAGTCTCCTTGTCGTTTGTCCCCCAGAGTCCAGATGAGGAACATGAGCCGTGTGTGTGGTTTGTAGATGAATGATGAGTCTGCTCATAAAGC